TCTGTTGTCTTACAGTTCAGTTCAAAATTATCTCCAGTACTACATCAACAGTATTCCTTATATGGTGCCGTTTGTATGTGGTGGAGGAAGTGTGTTCTGGGGAAGAGGAGGACATATGTTCTAAATGTCCATGAATTGCATGGCTTGTACACAGCATCATGTCCTCTGCTTTTTATTTCTCATGTGTTACTAATTATATCAACATAAACACACACACACACACACACACACACACACACACCCAAATGAATGCAGCATCTTTTGACCATGCAAAACTATTTTAAGGGCTTTTGTTTCCTTTTCTTGACAATTATTTGGCACCTTCATGTGTGTACAGTATAACTAATGGAAAGTAGCATAAGAAAATGAAGTGTCTAATTAAGGCCTGCAGGAAACGTTACGCAGTTGAGGTTCAGTTTGGGTTATTAGAACTGGCTGCTGGCCTTTTGTCTTAGGAATTTGTTTTGTTGAGTAGTTTTGCTTTCTTGCAGATGAATGTTGCCGTTGCTTTTATTTTCCTAATACAGGAAGTAGTAATTCCCTTTATTATATTAAGCTGTTTCCTTTTTAAGACATTTTTGCAAGCTGGGTCTGCACATTTCCTTTGTCACGCTGAGCTTATATTTTGTGTGTGTGCTTCCTGAAGCCATTTGTGCATTGATGGAAACTATTAGCGTGTTGCTGCAGCCTGAGCAGGGAAAGGTTACTTCGTCTGAAAGCACCCTTTCATCCACAGAGAACCTTTCAGTCAGGGGATGAGGCTGTGCAGTGCTTGTACGCAGTGATGTCCACAGACAGTTTGAGTGAAAGATTGAGTGGGGTGAGGTTTAGAAGCAAATGTTTTGGAATTTTCATTTCTGGCCAAAGATTCAAAGTGGCTTCCATCAACCACAGTGGTTGGAAATAATTCTGTCTCTTCACACACAGCCCCTGCTCCAGACCTTTTCTGTTCAGTTTGCCTGAGCATGCATTCACGTCACTCAGAAAATGCTGTCACTGTGGGATTCTGCAGAGGCTGTAGGGTCAAGTGTTGTTGTTATTGTTGTTGTTGTTGTTTTTAAGCTGAGTTGCTGTGGACCTCAAAATAATCTGAAAAATTCATTTTCAACATCCCTAATGCCTGGCTCTCCTAACTCCTCTCTACCCCTCCTCCCTGCCCCTGGTTGAGCCAGGAGATTATTCATCCCATAGAATGAGGAGCATTGGATAATCACACCAGTATCTAAATTTCAGGTGGGATTGGGATATGAACCTTCAAACTCTCCGTTTGAGTCTATCTTCAGTGTATGACATTTTTCCTAAAAAAAAAAAAAAAAAAAAAAAAAGCTTTGTGTGTGGTTCTGCCTCTTGCTGTTTGATGTTGCTTTGTTTGATTTGTAAGTCTTATGCTAGACATGCCCTTGTTCTAAAATCATGCTGATGAGGGGAAAACTGTGGCTATATTATAAATCTTTGACTTACAACTTTAGAAATGTTTGAATCCTGTGGCATGTTAATTTGTATCTCAGGTAAGCTGATGTGTATGTGAATACAATATTTTCCTTCATTCAAAATCTCAAAGTGAAGAAATAAGCTGATATGTTTGCACTAATTTTCCTTGTGTTTTTATAGGCCTTTCCATAGTACTTCATATATTCATGAGCCTTTAAATTTCTTAGCTAAATAGATATAATTTTTAATATTGAGCACTATAGACTTAATTTTTCAACCAACAAATACATATTTTGCACTGCCCAAGCTTCAGAGGCCAAATTATCATAGGGACAATAGTAATGTAGGAAGAGAAGAGCAATTGTCACAGGAATTATTAATAGTAAATTGAAGTAGCAATTGGAATTGCAGCCATTCTGTTGGGAAAGCACAATAGTGTCTTAAGTGTGACTGTGGTGACAGGGAGCCAACAATTGAGTCCCTGCTAATGGCCCAACAGGGGAAGGGCTTGAAAAGAAGCAATGAGTGGTTTACATTACAAAGGGATTGTCTGAGAGCTGCTCAAGTGTGGTCAGGAGGGGAGGTCGGCTGGAGACAGGAGGGATGATAACCATGGAACTGTCAAGGGCATCTTGGGGGTTTAGACAAGGGCTGTGGCAGCTAGACGCAGCCCACTGAAGCAGACATGTCCACGGCCTGCCCAAGGTTGATTGACAAAAAGGAAACACAATGAGAAGATAATTGAGCGAACCAGGAGGTCTGGACAAGTGTCACGGGATCTAAAAGTGAGTCCTGGGAGCCATCAGAACATTGGCTGAAAATACTCCTGCCTTCACTCTGATCAGAGCTGAACCATTCTATGGAGAATAAAGCTGCTGTTAGCGTGCGTGTGTGTGTGTGTGTGTGTGTGTGTGTGATTGGCAAATGTATTGAAAAAAGTATGTCCTTGACATTTAATGAACCCCCACTGTGTTTACACATATCTAACCTAACACACACATGCACACATATTCACACTACTTTTACTGGATTTTTTTTTTTTTTTAATAAAACAGGACCATCTAGAGCACAGTCCAGATCCATTGCCTCATTTGTTCTAATCCTGTCCTTTGTGGTGGTTTCCCCTCGCGGTCCAGGCTTCAGCCAGTGACCGTGTATTGTGTTACAGTTGTCATGCATTAGAGAAACAGAGCACAAAAGTGTGAGGCACAAAGGAGGCAAAATGGCCAGTGCCGACGAGGAATGTTCTCCCTGTGAGACACTGCTGGCCGCATTATGGGAGTCTTTTAAGACTTGTGTTCTTGCCAGCTACTTTGCAGCTCCAGTGGCTTCTTCATGCAGACCAATATGTCCTACTTTGGCCCGTTGTAGTTAAGCTTTTCTATGAGCTGTACATGGCTGTTTTTTTTTGTTTTTGTTTTTTTTTTGTTGTTGTTTTTGTTTTTTACTTGTCACTTAACTCTCAGTTGAAGTATCATCTCCAAGAGAGGACACCCCCTTCACTGAACTAATGATCTGATCATTTTCTGCCTCCCTGTTTAAATGATCTGCCTAGGCACATCATTTGTTGATGATTTTTCTTTTCACTGGCATCCAAAATATCCCAAACAACATCTTACATATGGTAGACACTTGAAAATTACTTGTTGAACAAAGGTACCAATTTAATGTCCAGAGGTGCAGGAGGTCATTTAAAACAATGGCAGTGCTGCATGGGCAGGCTTTATGCAATGAAATGCTTCAGAACTTAAGTCAAGGAACATAGACTCAATGAAGAGACTGAGGCTCGCAGGCAAAGGCACATGCTGCCAAGTGTGACAGGCTGAGTTTGACCAGTGGGACCAACGGGTGGAAGGAGGGAATGACTTCTGCAAGTTGTCCTCTGCTCTACACCCAAGTACCACGGTACATACAAAGTAAATGTTTAAAACTAGGTAAAAAACATTGATCCTACATTAGACTATTGGCGAGTGAATACACACTCGTATGCTTTAACGTTAAATGTTCAAAAAAATGTACTCTATATTTTTAACTAATCTATTTTTATACACAAATTATGTTGGTTAAGAAAAGGTACATAGTATCTATACAAAAATGAATGGTGATCAGACTGTAAATGCAGCTTGGCCTCAGAAGGACATTCTTGAATCTGGAGAGTCCCGTGAAAAGTGGTGGTTAATTGATGTGGGCTCTGAAAGGATTTCTGAGGGTGAAGTAGGAGGAACAAAGATAGGACTGGAACAATAAGCCCATGGGAGACCCCAGGAGGCGGTTCTTACTGAATAGAAAGTTCATGGTTTGCAGATAGTGGGAAGCAGCAGGAGACTGTGGAGGTAGCATCACTTTTTAGATTACTTAAAATCCAGCAGAGAGAGCATTTTTAGATTTGGTGTGGAGAGAAATAAGGAACTAGTACACATTTCTGAGGGCAAGGGTAGTATGATGACAACGGGTATTTTCGGGAAATTACTCAGTGTGGGGAGTGAAACGAGGCTGGCAGTTGGGGGTGTAACACCAGTATCCATCTGGTGTCCGTGGCAGACTCCAAAGTCGGCCTCAGCTACTCTTTGCGCCTACACAGCCATAGAGCATCTTCACCCAGGCCTCCAGTCAGCCATCACTAATCTATCTGCATTGGGCCTGAAGCCTGCCTGCTCCCTCTGTGTGTCACGGTGGAGAAATGAACACAGAGTGAGGGTAGAAAGGCAGGGAGACTGAGGGGCTAGGAACCTGGACTTTCAGGAGTTCTGAGGGTGTAAGAAGGCTACATATCTTGAGATACTCCTTTTGTGCTCTTGTGTTTGCATTTTAATTAGGGCCCAAAATAGAAATCTTTTTGTATAAGTCATTATTCATTGCTAAAGAAACATTTGCTTTCTCTTTCTAGGTCTCTGCTAACGGTGTGCCATTTGTAAGGAGTTGCTTCTTTAAAACAAAAGCTTTCCTTAAATATTCAATAAATCTTTAAAACAGTAACTCTAGCAAAATGATGTTCCAAAAAAAAAATGACTTTTGCCTGTTTTTAATCTGCAAAGACTTGGAGACACCTGCTCTGTCCTTCCGTAGGAGTTAAGCTGTCAGAATATGTTAAGATGCTATTCTGTTTTGTTTTTTTTTTTCAAAGAACAACAACAACAGAAAGATTTTTGTTGTCTTCTGTTTTTAAAGATTACAAAATACCAAACAAAATTAAAAATAAAATGCAGTTGTCTCAGCTTTGGTGGTGGCAGGGAGCCTCTACTGTGTCAGAGTGTGGGCTGCAGGCAGAACAGAACGTAGCTGCAAGCTGAAGTTAGAAAGTAAAGGTAGCAATAATCAAAAGCCTTTTCTGGATAACCTATCTCAAAGCAGGAAACACATTCAGTGGCAAATCAACCCTCCTCGTGAGCTGTAATCCGTGGATCTGTCTGAGAACACTGTTGCCTCACCATAGAAAACTTTACCTATGTACTTGTCTGGGACAACCTCCTCAAAGCTCTGATAGCAGGTGAATGATGGTACTGCTGGCTTCTCTTTAACATTCTTCTCTTTTCCTTTTTTTTTTCCTCTACCTGCGGCTTATGATCAAGAGCTTACAAGACCCCATGAAAAAGCTAGTTGAGAAAGAAGGGAAGAAGAGTGCCCGGAAGGAAAGCCCGGAGGCCGCCACGCAGGAGCCGAGGCAGTAAGTCCCAGGCCCCTTCCTCTTGACATATGCTTCGTTCTCACAGGTGAAGGTACAATAGTCCTCATAGCCAAGCCCAGGTGAGGACACATGAGGGTCACCTAAAACGCAGGTGTCCCCATGCTGACAGCTCCAAGTCCTCTCTGGTTTCTGGTTCTGACCTTATCTGTTGTCATCGACACTCACAGATATCCTAGACGGGAAATCCCCCACCTTTTCTCCTCCAGAAGCCTATGGCTTATGAAATTGCTTAGCCATGCGTGTAGTCCAAAAATGTGTGGGACTGTGACTTTTTCCCCTCACCATTCTGCCTTTCTTCTTGCTCTTTGCTTCAGAGAAGAGCCCAGAGTGCAGGCAGTAGGTCCCCTGCCTCTGTTTCTCACCTTCCACTATTTAAAAACACATGACTTTGCAGCCTGATGCCACAGATTCCAACTCTCACACAGGGAGAAAGAACTCTGAATGTGTAGCATGGTCTGTGGAGACCAACATCCCAGAGAACACAGTCCCTCTGAGCTGACTGACCTTGGAAAGCACAGTGACTGTTATTCTCCCATGCTATTCCTTCTCCACACACCTCCAAAATTTAGATGACATCTCTGTTGGTTAGACAGGCCAACATTTTTATTGTAGTTCTAAGAAAGTTTTTGGATGTGTTTTTTAGTCCCATAGAAATATTTGCTTTCAGAAAGCAGACACGGTATGCTTTCTGATGATGATGATCAATCCTCATTTAGAAAGACAAATGGGATGTGCATTGAACGTATGACATGAGTCTACCGCAGAAGGCATCTGAAAGACTCTACCTAGAAGTGTTCCAAAGTAGATACTAAGACTCATAACCAAACCTTCGGCAGAGGGCAGGGAATCATATGAAAGAAGGAGAATTTGATGTGGAAAGGATAGGAGTGCCACAAGGACTAAACATATCTGGGCACAGGGTCTTTTCTGAAATGGACACTCAACCAAAGACCATGAGAGGATAAAACCTAGAACCTCTGCTCGGATGTGACCCGTGATAGCTCAGTAATCAATTGGTTTCCCATAGTGAGGGGAACAGGGGCTATTCTGACAGGAACTCAATGGCTGGCTCTTTGACCTCTCCACCCCACAAGGGAGGAGCAGTACTGTTAGGCCACAGAGGAAGACTTTGCAGCCAGTCCTGAAAATACCCTGACAAAACGGAGTCAAATGAAAGGGGAGGAGGTCCTCCCCTATCAGTGGACTTGGAAAGGGGCAGGGAGGAGATGAGGGAGGGAGGGTGGGATTGAGGAGGGAATGAGGGAGCGGGATACAGATGGGATACAGAATTAACAAAATGTAACTAATAAGAAAAATAAAATTAAAAAAAAAAGAAATATTTGCTCTCAACATTATCAGTCCCATTTTAGTTAAAAAAAATCCTGGAAATATTCTCTGGTGGAGAACACAGACACGTTTTCACTATTGAACAGACTGGAGGATGCAGTCTGCAGCCGCATAGTTGCCTCTTGCGGAGGGCATCTAGTAACTGCTTGCTCCAGGCTGGCACAATATAGGCGCTCCTTGTGGTAACCCTTCTCACACTGAGACTGTGTACTCATGGTAGCCTTGTCCACATTGTCTAGAGGAAGGGATGGGGATCAGAGGGGTATGCTTATTATGATGAACCCTGTTAAAGGCTGTGCCCAGAGTAAATCGCCACAGACTCTTTCGTTGCAGTCCAAATAAAGCATTAGCCTATACCCAGACGGGAACTACATAGTTTCTTGCTGTGTTGACTTTTCGCTAATTTCAGATTTCTCAAGTGTCTTAGTGCTGCTGCTTGGGAAGCTCAAAAAGTATGCCAGCCACTGCTTTAAATGACAGTGAAAATTTAGAAGGAATTTTGTTCATAAATAGCAGATATGAGTGAGCCGTGGCGCTAGGAAGAACCAGAAAAGTGAAAAGTCACAGGAAGGGCTTATTCTGATGAGCGAGTGTGCCTCTGCCTTCGGCCTTCTGAGGAGCTTAGCTTCTCCTTTTAACCCCAGGAATCAGGGTAAACATTGTGTAACTGCTAAGGGGCATTTTTCTAGTTTTTCACAGTGGTAATAACTATGTGATGGGGTTGCAGTTATCACTAACTGTCCGTCAGGATGTTTACAGAGTATGCACCTTATGGTGAAGCAATAATCATGTATGAGACGACACAGGGTGTTACAGAGAACAAGCAATGTTATTTCTTCCTCAGAAAATGTTTGCCATACAAATGAGCTCTCCCTCTACCCCTACCCCATGTGGGGAGTGGGTGTTTCCGTGTGTGTGTGTGTGTGTGTGTGTCTGTGTGTGTGTGTGTGTGTGTGGTGTTGTAACTGAAGGAATGGATGTTGCACTGAAAAAAAAATAGCTATAGCATAGACATAAATTTGTAGAACTGTATAACTTGCCTTTCTTTTTATTTTAAGATTAATTTCTTTGGAGGATGAGAACCAGCACAAAGAATCCTCTACTTGTAAGAGTAAGTTTTAACTTCCATTTAAAATGCTTCAGAGACACTGTTTTAATGCTCTTTTTGTTTGTTTGCTCTTTTTGGCAAATTCCCTCTTGGCCACTTTTTTTTTTCCATCTTGGGAAAAGACTGTCTTAACTTGCTTCCCATCGTCTTGGCTGTGCACCCTTGAGCAGTTCAGAGAGACAGCATGATTTTGAACCGGAAAATGCCATCTTGAGTGACTTCAGCACCCTCTTGCAAGTGAGAGAGACCTGGTAGGCAGCTGTTTCTTTCCATGAGATGAGCTTTCTTAACTGGCCTGCCTCATCCTAACTCCAGGTCTTGGTGTAGTCTTGCTATCACATGCCGAGTGTGGTCACTGGTGATTTCTGGTGGGTGTTCCCCATTGTTTAAAGATAGGAGAGCTCACACTGTGCTACCAGGTGAATCCTCAGGCCACGTTAAGGAGTAGTACCAGCTACCTCAAGGTAAACTGAAGCCTACCTTAAGAGGAGGGTCCGAATGTGGGAGGTGCCACTCTGTGGTGGCATTCTGCCGTCTCTGGGTCCTGCACTGCTGCCGCGCTTTGTGTTGCCTCCTTACCATAAAGGTACAGAGAATGGAAGGTTTTGGTAAAACCAACACGTAACAGTGCTGACCCTTTCACCAGGTGCTAAAATCCTCATAGACGGAAAAGTGGTTTCCATTAGATGGGTAACTAAAGGTGTTATGGAGATAAGAAAGATCACCCAGCCCTCTGTTCAGACAGCCCCTTCTGAGGATACCCTCTCTTCTTCCCTGCCTTGTGCTAGGCTGTGGGAAGCCTGTCCAGGAAAGGAGAGAGAGGTGTGGAGCAAGTCCCAGACTTTTTCTTCTGCTCTATTCTCCACCAACGTTTTTTTTTTTTTTTTTCAAACGTTTGCCCCACTTATGCCCTTACCCTTTGCTCTTTCCTTTTCTACTTTCAATCTGCCTTTCAATAGGAAATAGGAAAACAAAACTAGGGACGCATGTGGTGGTACGTGTCTCTGATCCATCTGTGCTTGGGAAGTGGGGGCAAGGGCATTGGAAATTCAAGGTCGTCTTCAGATATAGATTCCACACTTATATGTACATATACACACATTTTTATATATGCATATACACACATAAACACATACAGGTCTTGGCCACCTGGAGTGGCCAACTCTTTGAAAATCAAAGCAGGCTTGCTATTTTACTCCCAACATGTCCTTGTCCACTTCAGGAGGTGTTTACTAGTGCTACTTCTGTGCCCAGCCCAGCACAGGGCTCCACCAGCAAGCATTACGCACCACACGTAGCCAGACCTTTCTAGAATAAGGCTCACAGTCAATGGGGAAGCAGAAAATAGCAGCTGCTCCCAACTGCAACAGTAGCAATGTTGGTGAGAGCCACTTACTTAGGCGATGGTCAGCATTCTGGGTGTGTGAGATACAGAGGCCTCACTTAACTGAGGCAAACAGGGGCCAGGCAAAATCATATACTACTGTAAGACTTGCCGACGGAAAAGAAACAGCGTGATAGAAGGAATGAGCAGGAAGGACCAGGCCAACTCAGAAAGGCAACATCCCAGAGTCTATGAGGGAGAGGCTGGGCCTGATTTGGTGGCCATACAGGCCCGTCTGTGTTGATCTAGGCCTCCAGCCTCAATGTCCCTTTGGCATGAACCATCAGTGCTGTAGGGCAATCAAAGTCATTGAGTAGAACATATCTAGTTCATTGGAAAAATATAAACTCCGGGTTGTTATACTCATATAAAAGTTTCAAATCTATATAGCTTATATACATTTGCACAGTCTGTGACAGTACAGAGAAAATGCACATTTTCTCTTTCCACATACAGTCTAATTGGGTGCGATATTTACATAATATTTTGAGATTGTGAATCTACCACAGTGAAGCGGCATCTGTCTTTTATTCTGAGACCTGTAAAAGGTCTGGTGAGCGTATGAGCAAACGAGTTTGAGGCTGCTCTCTCATGTGTGCAGACATTCAGATATACCCACACTTCATTTTTATTGTGAAGCCACAGTTAGTTCACAGCAGAATTGAGTTCAAGGCATAGAGGGTTCCCGTGAACCTTTTGTTCCCACGGATGGTGGTTTTCACTGCCCACATTCAACGCCAGAGCAGTATATCTGTCTACTCAGTGAGCCTTTCTAGCTACATCCTTCTCACCCAAAGTCCACAGCTTGCATAGTGTTCTCCCAGTGCTCTGTGCACACTTCGTGGGTATTATAGCTATGAGACGAAATGTATTTGCCATTAAAGCATCATACCGTATTGTTACCATTTCCTCCTGCCCAGCACCTACTCATCTTCTTAGCCACCAAGCAGCCTCTTCGCATCCACGGGTCTTTTCACTGTTTCTGCAATTTTGCTCAGAATTTGGGAATATAAGGTTTGAAGTCTTTTTTTTTTTTTAAGGATTATTATAAAGTAGTCTTTCTTTTTATCTTAAACAGGCCCATATGGTTAAAACTTATTAGTGATACCAAGTAACAGTCAATTATTTAAGTCATTCCTTCTTTTCACAGATGGAAAATAATTAGAACGGTAAAGTAGAATTGTATGGGTTACCTATTAAACAAAACCGATTCATAACCACATTTAACTTCATTGAGAGTCAACAGCTGAAGCCAAAGGTAAACTGAGGCCTGTGGCTTTGCTTGAGTGAGTTTAGACTGTTCATTCTTTCTGAGAGTGTACATTTCCCTCACACACAGTATATAAATATGTACCACTGTGGGCTCATAATAACTAGTTGCATATGTTGTATTACAGATGAAGATGGAAAAAGTTTTTTGCCTTCTATAGACAAAAACTCTGCACAAGATGCATGCTCAGGTAATCTAAAGACAAACTTCCCACTTTTAATAATTTCCTCATGCTCCAAACGTAATGGAATTAACTCATAATTCATTTCCTTTCTCTTCTCTTAAGGACCCATAGATGAACTATTAGACAGGAAACCTGAGGAAGGTAAAATTTACAAAATCTTTGATGGGCTTAATTTGGTTAAAATTTTAACTTTTTTCTGTGCAAGAAACGAATGGTTATCTTTTGTAATAGCTTTACAGTCATAAAAATGGGTGGCAGCCATTATAAATGACTTTACCTATGATCAAGCAATATTTAATATGTTACTGTATTTAATTAGTGTTTTTAAAGCTGAAAGTTATGACAAAGGTACTATGTTGCAACAGAAAAACTAACTTTTCAAATGAGACACACGTGGATTTTGAATAATTTGCTTTATATACAACACTATCTCTAAGCCTCAGTTGTTCTTGTATGTAAAATGGAACCAAACACAACAGCCTCACCAGGTAACTGTCAGGAATGGAATTCAGGTACGAAAAGGATATTTTGTAGTTTCTGATACGGGGATATTCTTGGAATTGTGGCTAGTTGAAAAAGGAAGATTAGGAATGATCTCTAGATGGTATACTATGCTGTATTTTCATTGTTCCACCAGACTAAACATCTTATACTGACAGGTAAAAGAGAAAGTCCCCTAAAAGAGAATTCAGAAAGCTGCATTTGGATGAGATATATATGATACTAAGTAATCTAAGGAAACTGAGTAGTTTCAGCATAATCTTAGCCTTTGATTTTCATCCAGAGGTTTCCTTTTAATGATTTACTAAGAGTTCAAAATGCCGCTGAGATTCTGAGCCAAACATCAGAGTACCCCTTGACCTGGAGACTGGCATCCTGTGCTGCTCTTACAGGTTTCTTACAGCATAGAAGAAACCTGAAAGCTTGGTGACTGAAGTCAGCCGGTAGACCTCAGCTAACCAGGTCGACCAGGGTATCGTCCAACTTGGTCTGAGCTCGACCTGTTAGGCTGTTGTTGTGCCAGATGCTGGAGAGAAACAGTTTGAGGGGAGAAAGGTTTATTTTTTGGTTCATGGTTGCAATCCATGGTTTGCTGTCTTCACTGCTTTTTAACCTTGTGGCAAGGCAGAAACGTCATGGAGGAAGAAAGCTGCTCATCCCATAGAGGCCAGAAAGCAAGTAACAGGAAAGAACCAGCACCGAGGTACACCCTTTAAAGACACTCCCCCAGCCAGATAGTACCTCCACCTCAGTGCTTCCACAGTTCCACTGCCTCCCACTTATCCACTCAAATGTTGAGTCTATTAGTGGCTCAACTAGAGATTAGGGCAAAGCCCTCATGCTCTAGTTTTCTCTGAAACACAGGTACTCCCAGAGGTGTGCTTAATTGTCTCCTGAGTGGCTCTCAATCCAGGCAAGTTAAAAATCAAGATTACCCATAAAAGTGTGGGCTGAATCCACAGAATAGAGAAGAAGTCTCTCAAAGATTGAAAGTCACCACAGCTTTACCATGAACTTCTCATGGCATGGGAATACTGGTCCAAAGGCAGAAGTCAGCTTACCTTATTAATGTCTTACTGAAGGTATCAGGCTGTGCAATATTTTATCAAAATCTGTGATTAGTTAAACAGAAATCATACCAAGTAATGAAATGAATAAGTAAGCAGTTAGTGTGGGTTTATAAGGACCTTTCACCTATGGTTTAAAAATAAAACATTATTACGGAATAAAAATATCCTATACAAATTATTTTTGCAGTGTTGAAATACTTTAATCTTACCAAAATGTTATGAGACTAGTATAACAAACCCTAAGTATGGGCCATCAAGTTCAGCAACTCCTAACATTTAATAAATGTATTCATAATCCTATGAATGCCCCATCTTATTTGGATGGATTGATATTCCTCCCAACCCCAGCATTGTGTGTATATGGTTTGTTTTTTGTTTATAACTGTACTCAATTTTATTGCTTTAGTAGACTTGATTTCTGAATAGGTAGTATTTTTACATTAGCAAAAAGATAATAGTTATATTTTAAAAACTCACCCCTTTTTCTGTATTCTGCCCCACACCAATTTTGATAACAAAGTGCCCCCCTCTAACTCCCATCTTTCTAAAGCTTTTCTACTCAGACCCAGAACATAGGAGTACATATGCCTGTGTCCTTCTCCCTTTATATGTATGTATATATATATATACATATATGTATATATTTATATATAAAGATTTTTAATTTTTTGATATATATTAGCCTCAAATCCTGCATTTCTTTACAGAATTAAATCAGAAATGCAGTAACCTGCTTGTGTTCATAACCTTCCTTATATGCTAGGGAAGAACACTGACATTTTCTTATTGAAAGCAACTTTCATACCCCCATGGCATCTAGTTCTAAAGATGGAGCTGTGATGTGCTCTTCCCTAACTTATGTACAGGTCCCAGGCAGAAGGAAGGAATCACAGATCTTCCCAGTCAAGTGCACTTTCACATAAGCCACCTTGTCCCTTCATTCCTTCATCACTGCTGTCTCACAGCAGCCTGGCGTGGCCCTGAGTGACGCTCGCCACTGTCTGCCTCTTCTGGGTTTATATCCCAGCGCGTGGTGAACTTGTGGTGACTAAAGAAAAAATAACAACAAGAATGACCACTGATCTGTTCACTTCGAAATGCATGCTTTCTCAAAGTTGCCTCAAGGCCTAAATTCTGAATTAAAATCCTGATTACAATATGCAAAACATTAGATGTGAGGACATAGAAAGCACTATAATACAGAGAATGGCTGATATTACAGGATTAAGGAGCTCGAACTGTAGCTCTGCTTTCTTCTGTTGAAGGATAAAGTGGTGGAAAACCAATGTTTGGCCACACCATAGAAACATATTTTAATAAAAATTAGTGACATTCTGAGGTTCTTGAAGGTGGCTCTGAAATCACCATATGACCATATATGACATGTGGCCTTAATTCATGAATTTTACGGCATGTAGAAATCTTTGTGTTCCTCATGTTGGATTTCCCCACCACCACCCCACCAAAGTAACTTACTACTGAACAAAACAATATAGTATAAAGAGGATGAAAGTTTGAATAGTCCAACCTACCTGAATCTTATCAACAAGCCTTTACCACAATCACAAGGTCTAGGCCAATTAACAAAACAAAACAAAACTAATGTCCTTATTACAAAAGCATGTTTGTCCTCTTTCTCGGTTATCTAAGTTCTGTCCAGTATAGTGACAACATTTCATTCAGCAGCTGGCAGAGGTCTAGGTAAGAACCTTTAGGCCACAGCAATCACGTGTTATCATATGGTGCCTAGCTTCCCCCGGATCACTGTCATCTGCAATCATCCTTACACTCAAAGGAGATAGATGATTGCTCTGCCTCAGAACTTACAGGGACCAGGTTTTAAATTCCTTGTCTGCTCTTGTAAACTCCTCCTGCCTGCCTTCCTCCCGCCTTCCTCCCTCAGTATGCTGGGAAATGCTGGTGACCTAGGTCACCCTATGAAATAGTGATAGACGTTTTCTTTACAGTGCTGGAAAAAACTCCTTTACACAGTTTAGACCAGCACTGAGCCACGCCCCCCCACCTGGCCCAACAAGAATGCACTTTAAAAATAGACTATGGAAAGCAGGCGTGTGTCAGCAAACACCAGTAGCCCCAGCACTTGGGATGTAAAGGATTAAAGTTTGGGAGTTCAAAACCAGCCCTGGCTACATAACGACTTTGAGCCAGCTCAGGCCACATGAAACTCTGCTTAATGAAACCAAATGAATTATAAGTGTTCTTAATGGTGTAGTGGAATGCTTTGCATGGTATTATTCTATAGAGATTTTTAAACATTTGGTCCAACCCCGAGATTCGTGGATTTTAACAAGAGAGATTGGAGCAGGTTTTTAGCAATACGGTATTTTTGTATATGCCACCGGGGTCTAGCATTCTTGGATTGTTCATTTGTTTTTCTTAGAGGTCACATACGGATCCTTCCCCTACCCCCATGTCCACCCTAGCTCCTGTCAGTGGGATTTTAATTTTTAAACCTGAAGGGAGTATTTTTTTCAATGCAGCATTTTTGAATTCTAAGCAAGAACAATTTGTTAGCAGGGCCTGAAAAATATTTTTCTGTTTAGACCTTTTGTCAGGTGGTTTCCTACCATCTTCCCCCCGCTGTCTTTTGGGTGCTGGGAGGATGGTGTTGGTGTCTGGGGTTTCATCGGTACTGTGGCCCTGTGGCCTTTAAGATTAGTCATTATGTGGGGTGTGGAGAACAGGGAGAAACCCAGAGAAGGGAGCCTTCCTGTTTCACACTGATGAAGGTAAATCAAGTGACATTTATCTGTTTGTTGTCTTGTGTTCTCGTTTTCTGTCTATGTAGTTATTTCCATCTTCTGGGCTTCTAATTTATGCTGAGGTCATGAAACTCAGTGTGATTTCAAATGCACTATCTGAACGGGCTGTCACTAGTTTTCCACGCTCTGCCTGAACTTGAGTTTCCTCTACATTTGACCTTTTACAAGCTAGAACTTACCAGTTCAGGACCAGTTCTTCTAGGGAATGTTTTCCCAGGGCTCAGGCTTCTTATTTCTGGGCATTGAACAAAGCAGGTATATGGAGTGTTTTTGCCATCTTGGTCATTCTGCCTCTGTGTCTGCATGGTACCTCAAAAAGTCCTCTGGCCTTAGAAAGCCTCACCCCTTCACAAAAGTGTCTTCTGCTAGTTGTGTGCAAGATCCCGGTCAGTTCTCTATCAGCACATATAAAAAAAAAATGCCTCTGTACTTTCTGAAGGAAAAGCAAGCTTCCACAGAGAGACAGCATTGACTTTTGAGTCTAGGCTCTCAAGCCTGACTCTCTGTAACAAAGAAATCACATGACCTTGGATAGGTCTATTTTCCCTCATCTGTAAAATGAGTTCAAGGAAATAGTTTCTAAGATCTCTTTGGTAATTTTTTTTTTCACTGAGAAAAAAAAAAAAAAAAAAAAAGAGCAAATTCCCAGGCAGGAATGCAATATCAAACAAGGCACTTCAGCTAAGCTATGTGCTTCCCAGAAAATAGCATTGCTAGGTGGCCTGATACTACCACTATTGAGAGAGCTACTGTGTTAAACTTCAGTACACAGATGTCAGGAGGAGCGTTTGCAAGGTTTTGGATAAGGAATGATCTCCCAGTTGGCCTCTGTAAAGGTGCAGGCTAGGAGGCTGCCTCCTGGAGCTGCAACTGCCTCTCCAGTGTGCGGGCCGCAAAGGACAAGATAAGAATTTGTGGTCAGGAACTGGAAAACTTGGATTGAAGGCGGACATTTGGAGACTTTAAACCAATGGAAATTGTGCCCCCCAGCTCAGTGGCAGCCTTTATCTACGTGGGTCGGAGCTCTGCCAAGGCTTCTTCAGAGAACATTATCACATCTCTCCATGTTTTCTTTGTCCAGGTGTAGTAGCCCTGTTTTCAAAGATGATAACAGGAGCCCACTGGCTGGCACTACCTCTCAAGTTGGGGCTTGTCCCGTTAAGGACCTAAACCTGTCCATTTCAACTTGTAATTAAGTTTCTCTTACAAGTTATGCATAGTAATTTCAGGCATCTTAATTATCAGTGTAATAATCGGGAGGTTTCTGTGTTTCATGGTTCAAGTCAGTGCCAGTTTCCTTGCTTTGAGCCATGTAAGTAAGTTCTCTCATGAGAGCACAGTTCACTGTACAGCCTGCTTTAACTAGTAAAGAGCCAGGATGTGATAACTTTTTTTTTTTAACTTGCAACTTTTTAATAATACATCTCAAAATAAATAAATAGGCAGAATGGTAAATAATAGACCATACTCAATGGTAGACTTCAGTGGAAGCAAAATCTGAATCCAGAACTGACTCGAGAGCCTGAAATGCTTGTATTTGATAGGATACAGTGTCAGTCAGCACTCCTTTGGTTATAAGGATGGAAGCCTGTGTTGAAACGTGTTTGGTTTAGAATTTTGCTTAAAATGCACCCATCCATGAAATGAGAGTACACGGCGGTACAATTGGCCCAAGTGAGACAGAGTCTCTGGGTCTAGCTGAGGGCCGTCAAAACTCCCTTTCCGGCTCCTTAAGTTGTTTTCCTCTGTGTGTTGACTTTATTTTCACTAACAGCCTCAGATTTATAGCTTTGGATCTGAGAATCCCAAAGAAAGATGGATCTTTTTCCATCCAGTTTTCATATAGCAAGTACAGGGTAGACTTCAGCGCATTGCCTCCCGTGTGTCAGTCTCCGTGGCCTGAGAGACGGGAAACTTCAGCCTGCTCTGCCACACACACGCCTGGAGTGGAGGATAATGAGGTCCCCTATGGGCCATGTCACCAGGATCACAGAGAGAAGGGGCTTCTGAAGAAAAACAAACAAACAAAAAAACCAGAAACTGGAGGAAAGGAAAGAGATGCGAAGTTAGCAGAAGGCATATTGTCTACCGTAGCACAAAGCATGAACACCCGAAATGGAAGTTTTGTAGTCTGCTTGTGTGTAGAGGACTCCATGGTTCTGATCCGTTGTTCGGCTCTCCGTGTTATCTTTGCTGGAGAGCCACCCCAGTCAGCGCAGTGACACTTCCCCACACCTGGCTTTCACAGGCATTCCTAAAAGATTCCCGTAAGGTCCGACTGAGTAGCTGTCACTGACGTGGGTTTGGCTCAGTGATCACATGCTTTTAACCAGGCCAGAAAGCAACCCGGAGAAAGGGTTTGGGCGCTCCCGTGTCACCAGAAAATAGGAAGTACAGAGATGTCAAAGGTAACCACAGGTCAAGAGGTGACTCTGGGAGAGACTGAAAGAGAGGATTCATAAGTAATCGCATGTGTGGAGGGACACAGCCGATACACTGAGGGTGCCGCCCTCGCCTCTTCCTGTATGTCGGCGTGCAGGCGAGCAGCCGGGCTACGCTGTCTGTCTGCCTTAGCTACCTGGTGGCCCCTGCAGCCCACAGGGGAAGCCTGTTTACAGAACCAAGTTGCTGTCTTTTTCACCTAGCACGCCTGCAAGCTATGTCTGGTTGAAAATGTCTTTGATAACATAAACAATAAAAATGCTTAAATTAGACAGTTGTCTGATTAAAGTGATGTTTTGCCACTATTTTAAAACAAAGGGATATAAATTGCAAGATTTTCCCCTCCCTGGTTTATAGCCAAGCTGCTGAGTTTAAAAAAAAAAAAAAAAAACAAAACCTTAATCTCTAGATCTTTATGTAACATGTGGGTGAAAATAGATCCAGAAAAAAAAAAAAAAAAAAAACAAAAAACACTGAGAAGCTTTATTTAAAACAACAATAACCTTAACTACTAACCATCACACATATGAATGTATGAGCTAATTCATCATGATCATCAGAATTTCAGTGTTGCTCAGAAAAATCATAAGAACCAGGATGTTTTTCTGTGCTTCGTGGCTTATGATAAAAAAAAAAATGCTTGCAGTTTACAAGTGGCAATAAAATTCCACAAACAAAGCAACACTCAATACATGCCTCAACCCATGGTTCTTAAAATAGGCAGAAAAACTCAACGAAAGAGGTATCCTAGGATTTATGAGAGTCACGTTACCGTTCTGCTTATCAATAGTGTTCAGCGTTTGGTCAATGTTCACACGTGAGAATGGTTCTCTCTTAAAGTCAGCTGCGCACGTGACTTTGATGAGGTAGTCTAAGTTTCCTGACATTCCAAGCTGGCCATCACTCCTACTGTAACCTCAGGGATGACCGTCAGAGGGCCAAGGGCTGTGGAAGGTGGGTTGGGCCTGGACTCCCCCAAGGACTAGGGCTCATTACCGCCTGCCAGTGTGTATGTCTGAGGCCCATGAAGTGAACCCCTTCTGCATCGGCCTGGACTTAGCGTCTCCTTCCCTGTCACTCTCTGGCTGCTTTGCTTAGCTGAGCCAGATCCACCTTTGCTTTGCTTCTTGCAGCTGTTACTGCAGAGACAGCCATCTTGGGTGCTGATGCGCCTCCTGACATGCTCCCCCAGGCCAGGGTGTGGTGAGCTTTCTCCCCAGCTTGGGTGGCAAGGCAGGCTGCCACATGGTGTGCTTGCTGCTCCGGCCCAGTCAGTGTGGATGGAGGGCTTGTGTGGGAAGATTCGGGAAGGCTTACAAACAAGAGACTAAGATCTCGAGCAGCTTTCAATCCTGGCTTTGTTTCAGACTTGGGAATGTGTGTCAGATCTGCTTTTATGTTCAGGAAAAACCCAAATCCTACACTTTCTGTGGAAAATACTTCAGTGAAATTCTAATAATGCTCAGAAGCTGGATTTGCTTTGGAAGAAAGGGGATAAGGGGACATAGAATTCAAAATTTATTAATAAAGGGTATCATGGGTTAAATTTCTATTCTGGTTATCTTCTCCTAAACCCAGCCGTCATTCAGTTTGTCCCAGAACAATCCGCATGACAGCTGTTCCTGAGGCCTTCTGAAATCATGTCTTCTATGCTCTGTTGCTCCACCAGCTTGCCTGGGTCCCACGGCAGGGACCCCAGAACCCGAAGGTGGGGACAAGGATGACCTCCTGTTGTTGAACGAGATCTTCAGCACTTCCAGCCTGGATGAAGCAGAGTTCAGCAGAGAGTGGGCTGCAGTGTTTGGGGACGACCGGCTGAAGGAGCCAGCCCCCGTGGGGGCCCAGGGAGAGCCAGACCTCAAGCCCCAGATAGCCTCTGGATTCCTTCCTTCGCAACTTTTAGACCAAAATATGAAAGATCTACAGGCCTCTCTCCAAGGTAGGTACCAGAGCGACTGTTTTGTTGTTTTGCTTGTTCATTCCTTCACCCCCCCCTTAATACAGAAGTTTATTTGTTCTTCGTACTTTTGCCTGTGTATGCCTTCTGAATTTTTTACTTTATAACCAGTGTCCTTTCATTATTAGTGGTAGTATTTTTTCATTATTATTTACATCCAGTGACATTTTAGCTGAGATCTCCAAATCACATCACAACTTTAAGATTTAGTGTCAGGCTCAAGATCAGTTGTTTCTAATAATCTTCTTCTGTCACCACTTTCCTAGGGAACTTAGGGGAGGTTCTGGATCTTTCTTATTTAGATTTAAGGTAGTTTTGTGATATGTATGAGAGGATCTTGGCTTCACAGTTAAAACCATGTAGCCTGGCCACCCCTGACTAGACGTCTCAGGATCTACCATACACCCACGGGACAGACTACCTACAGAGCTGTAAACATGCCCTCTCTTTAGGTGCCAAGTGGAATTTCACTGGACCTTCTAACTTTGTCATACATTGTGCTCACACTTGCTCTGTCGACATCTTGGCCTGTCCTTACCTCATGTTAATGCCTCAATTCATCGGATCCTATTCTGACTGCGGCATACAAAGTAAATCCGCATCGCAACCTCAGAACAAAAAGGGTTTTCACCCCGACCGAAAGTGCCCTTCACTCAAAAGGGTTCCCAGTGCACCTGGGCCACATGCTGGTTGAGCATTGCTGGTGTGTCCCCCTGCCCCCAGTGATTCAAAAAACAACCTCAAAGGTGAGGTCTGGAGAAGGAAATTATTTTCTTCTAGTGCGCATTTTTTTTTCTTCCTATCATGCTACATAAACCAAGATAGGAATTACTACCATTAAGAAAGGTTCAAATTGTTTTGGTTTTTCTATGAACTTTAAGCTATCTCCTTAGTAAACAACGTGTTTATCTGGCACTTAAAGTGAGAAAAAAAATGGCAGAGGGGGAATGATTAAGTAATTATGGGCTATTACAACCTTAGGTCTTTGGAAATGAGATCATTCATACAGGAACTGGAGGGACAAGATGGGAAAAATGTCTCCTCTTTTTTTTTTTTTTATGAACTACCTTTCCCTTTTATTTTCTTTTCTTTGTGAATCCTGTTTTGTAGCTGTCTCGTGCATTAGTGGTCATGTTGTTGAAGGTTACACAGATAAGAGAGAATACTGGAAGGGTTCTTCTGCTCACTGGGTTTCACCTGTGGTTTCACCCCTCCTTGCCTAGGTGAAGCCCAGTGAGCGAGTCTGCCAGCTTTCTTGACTTTCATCCCAAACTTCTTGTAGCTGAGGCCCTAACAGGTGTGGGAGACTCCCACGGCCAGATCTTCAGCCCACCTCTGAGAGGTTCTACAGTCCCTACAGTTGGGCTACAGAATGATCTACTATCCCCTGACCCCCAGCTTTGGAGACCCGTGTGCTCTGCTGCTATAGGAGACAGCGGAGGCTGACAGTTACTTCGAGAGTGAGAAAACAGGGTTCTACAGCCTCTTCCTGAACAGACAATGTGTGAAGAGCTCTGGTCAGAGAGAACCCAAGAACTGTAACAAGGTGGTGACTGTGGGCTTTGCACTTGCTTCCAGCCTTGCAACATGTCTGAGAGAAGGCACCAAACCACTTGTGGGAGGTGTTCAGACAGTAAGAGAGAAATGCAAGGTATGACCTGGGCAGGGAACGTGGTTGCACAAAGGGAGACTGTTCATTTCTCAGGCAAACAATCCCATTTGACATTGCCATCCTAGTGCCTTAGCAAGGTTCTCCCCCATTAACAAGCATCTTCTGGTTCCCCCGTTGTGGCAAGGACTGGAAATGCATCTGCGAACACAACAGGCAAAGCTCTCTGCCTTCCTGGAACTCATTTCCTAATGGAGAGAGGATAAGGAGTGATGAACATAATGAGAAAATCAACACAGTAGGTTAGAGAGTGGTCTGTGATAGGCAGGGAGAAAATGGAGCACAGGAGAGCCAGTGTTGTGGGGTGGCAGGGTTCTTAGACAGGCCTTGCTAGGAAGGTGAGAGCCAAGCAAGACTCGCTGGGGATGAGAATTAGCAACACAGGCAGAGAGGACAACCTGTATTGACTCCATGAGGTAAGAGCATACACAGCATGAACAAGATCTGCAGCAAGAACACTTCTTGGAGCTGACTGAGCAAGAGTGAGGGTAGCAAAGCAAGGGAGAGCTCCTCCAAGGCCACAAAGGCCAGACCCGTGTTATAGGCTGGGCCATATATGCCAATAGTAGCTAGGCTACATGGGTTTTGTATACACTGGGCAATCTCTGGCTTTCTTTCAGCAGCCATGTTGAGAACCATCACAGCATCACGGCATCGTTAGCCACCAAGCAGGCATGATCTGCTTTGCTATTTTACAGCGTCTCGTCGTCTTGGTTGTTAGCGTTCTCTCTTCTTCTCGGCTTCTAGCAAGACTAATGTTAAAGTGACTTGGTGACTGCCAAGTTTCCTTTGCATGAAAATGGCTACCAACCGAATGCCTAGAAGATTTGAAATATCAAGGAAAAAAATACCTATATGGTTGAAAAAAAAAAATCAGACCATTCGTTGTCCACCACAGCTCCAGAATCTCAGTGGGAGCAGCTTTCCTGCCACCCAATGCTACCCTGATTTACGGAACCTTCCGGACGCATGTGATATAGTTTCAGAACCAGAACAACTACTTGCAGGGGCTGAGTACTTCGTAGGCTTCCATCAGGATTCCTCTCATCCCCCAAATAAGAAAGGATGAATGTTAGCCTAAGATATTTTTTTTCACTGCATGGGTGAATAGAAAATCCATCTAACAAGCATGAGTAGTTGTATGTAAATAAGAGTTTAATAATGATTATTAAACCCTGGCCACTCATATTAAAATGGATTCCTCTGGTTAACCAGATCGTGTCAGTAGCTACTGAAATCATTAAGAAACTAAGCTTAAGCATGAGAGGTGAGGCTTGTTGGGCATGTTGGCTCCCTGGCAGTGTGTGGGAAAGAGTTGAGTCCAGCTTTATTTTGTATTTGCCCTCTTCTTCCTCCTACTTTAGCAGTGGTGACGCTCTCTAGCTTTCTGGGCTATTGGTCTAGGCTTCTTATCCCAGCAGCATCTTATCTGTGCGTTGGCTCCCATCTCTGAGAGGCCGAGGTATAAAATTAAGTAATTCTGTGAAGCTACCAGCCATAGACTATAAGATTACATCAGCCAGCGCTCAAGACGGCGCATGCTGAGTGCCTACAACTGCTCCCTCTGTTCCTCTGTCCACTTCTCCATTTAATCTGCTGCTCCCCAGGCAAGTCAACATCATCTACACTTCAGAGACTGGAAAACCAAGGAAGCAAGCAGTTTGTCGGCCTGAGGTCACACTCTTGGTAAGGGCAGCCAGACTTTGAACCTGAGCAGTCTGACTAAAGAGCCCATGCCAGGTCTTCTGTGACCTCTCAGTGCAATGTCTGAAAGCAAAGGTAGCTTCCCACAGGCCCTTCAGGCATCTGCTGCCTGCGGGGGCAGGGCTGGTAGTGATCAGCCTGGCTGTGGATTTCCTGGTTTCATACAGGAATGAAGACACCAGGGTGAATGGTGGAAGAGAAAAAAAAGGTCCAGAGTACAATATTTGAAATTAGGTCATCATAGAAGTCTTAAAAGATAATGCTTGAACAACAACAACAACAAAAATAAAATAAAATAAAACAAACAAACAAAAACACCATTGTCTGGCTTTCTTAAAGGGCTGAGATTCTGGGTCAGGAGGTCAGAGTACAGAGGTGGACAGAGGACCTCCAGTCATTAGCTATTCTCACACTTCCATTCTTTATCTTTCTCCATTTCTTTCTCCTCTTTCCTTTTCACTCTTCCTTATCTTTTTCTTCTTTATTCTCTTCAGTCTTTCATCTCCTAGAATCACTTCTCTCTGGCCTCTCTTCTCATTCTGTCCTCCAGCCCTCCAGGGGGATGACAAAAGGACTACTTCCTTTCTTCCTTCCTTCCTTCTTCCTTCCTTCCTTCCTTTCCTCCTTCCTTTCTTCCTTCTTTCCTTCCTTTCTTCCTTCTTTCCTTCCTTCCTTTCTTCCTAGTACAAGCTATAGGAGTTTACAACAAAAATTACATGTCTGATCGAATCGTTTAAAAATTTTAAAGCATGAAATTTAGCTAAGACTTCTCAGAGTTTCTCAAGTTGTTGGCCTGATTGTGGTATCCTAACTTGTGTTCTGTTGCAGCGATACAGACCATACTGGAAGGCTGCTCATAGGTGGAAGGTTTTATTTTATTTTATACTTCCACCTTACTGTCCATTATTGAGGAAAGATATGGCAGGAACTCAAGCAGGAACTTGGAGGCAGAACCATGAAGGAATGCTGCTTACTGGCTTGCTCTCCATGGCTTACTCAGCTTGCTTTCTTAAAGAACCCAGGGCCATCTGCCCTGATATGCTGCCACCCACAGTGGACTGGTCCCTTGCACATCAATCATTAATCAAGAAAATTTCCCCATAGGCATGCATGCTCACAGGTCACTCCTAAGATAGCAACTCCTCAGCTAAAGGCCCCTCTTCCTAGATGACTCCAACTTGTGCTAAGTTGACAAAAACTAACCAGCACATGTGGCAAGGAGACCTCCTGTACCCATGAAGTGATGAGAAAATTATGCCTTCCCGGGGCTTCTAAATATGAGTAGCCAGCCAGAGAGTGCTGACCCAGCAGACACAAAAGGAAGGCTTGGAAGCTTCATAGTCCGTGTCCTTTTCAATGTTAAAAAATTAATCTGAAGGCAGACTCTGACATGGGAAAAATAACCAGCTGCTCAAAAATAAATGCTTCAGGAGATCTTTCAGCGTGTAGGATTCTGCAAACTAAAGCTAGAACTCTTGCTCCAGACTCACAGAATCACAGAGCCATGTGTTCCTGCAGGGCATTCTTCATTTTGCCCAGTTCTCAGGCGCTGTTGCTCTCTGGGTGGGTTTTAGGTTTGGGTTATCTCAAAGAAGCCTCAGGCTGATTT